TACCCAGGATCTCGCCCAAGATGGGGCCAACTGCTCTTGAAGGGACCCGCGAGTCACCCGGGGGCCCGGGGTCAGCCCAGACAGGGACGCATCCAGGACCTTTCGATGGGAGTGTGGGGGGGGGGGGGGGCACGGTGCGGGCATTTTTCACGCCGGATCCGATGGGATCATAGATCCTAACCTACAGTTTGCTTCGAGATCCACTGACCCATCCATCATAGACCCATCCATCATAGACCAATAACTCGGATCCATGCACATGTCTGAAACTAAGTTGTCGACAGGAATTCTTCGAAAGTCTTCCATTAGACACCACACTTGTACAGTGTCTGGCTAGTCACCACACCAACGGCGGTGGGCAGTTAGATGACAGAGGCGAGAAAACGTCCTGTCACATATACCACAACGATGCAGTCGCTCTCACGCGAGTGAACAACGGCGACGGTGTCTGGCCAGCGTACCTTGTCTGGCAAACGTTTTGTCGCATGTTTCACAATGGTACGGCCGCTCTCCCGTGTGTGTACGACGGTGGTTTATCAGGTCACTTTGTGCAGCAAACGTTTTGTCGCATGTATCACAATGGTACGGCCGCTCTCCCGTGTGTGTACGGCGGTGGCTGGTCAGCGTACCTTGTCTGGCAAACGTTTTGTCGCATGTTTCACAATGGTACGGCCGCTCTCCCGTGTGTGTACGACGGTGGTTTATCAGGTCACTTTGTACAGCAAACGTTTTGTCGCATGTATCACAATGGTACGGCCGCTCTCCCGTGTGTGTACGACGGTGGCTGGCCAGCGTACCTTGTACAGCAAACGTTTTGTCGCATGTTTCACAATGGTACGGCCGCTCTCCCGTGTGTAGACGGAGGTGGTTCATCAGGCTACTTTGTACAGTAAATGTTTTGTCACATATGTCACAGCGGTATGGCCGCTCTCCCGTGTGTATGCGGCGGTGTCTGGTCAGAGCATTCTGCCAAGAAAACGTCCTCCCACATATATCACAGTTGTACGGCCGCTCTCCCGTGTGTATACGGCGGTGTGTGGTCAGATTACTTTGTTTAGTAAACGTTTTGTCACATATATTACAGCGGTACGGCCGCTCTCCGGTGTGGGTCCTACGGTGGCGGTTCATATCGATGGACTTATTGGTCGAGTACTGACACCATTCACACTTCAATTTGCCGTTTCTGCCGATGTGGCTGTGTTTCTTCTTCACGTGCCTATTCAGACGATCTTGTCCCAGACAGCTGAAGCCGCAGTGAGGACAATCAACCATTGCCGGTCCGCCTGGAAAACATAACGATATTTGAGACGGATTTGAGATATTTGAGACGTATTGAGACGTATTTGAGACGTAAACAAGACGTATTGAAAAATAACCGTATGCTTACTATCTTTAGAAGTCTAAACTTGGCCTCAAATGTTTGATCAAATGGATGATTGAATGGTAGAGCAAATGATTTTATTGAATGGATGATTGATCAGATGTTTGATTTGATGACTGAATGGTCGATTGGATGATTAAATGGACGATTTAATGACACGAGCTGCTGATTGCATCCATAGCCGATTTTCCAGCAGAGGCTGACACAATTAAACGGCGTCTTTTTAAAGGTGACATTTTTAAGCTGACATTTTCAATCGTTTAACCCTCGCCGGCCGAGGGGGGGGGGGCGGGTGCCGCCCCCCCCCCCATAGGGTTTTTTCGCGATAGCTCCGAACACGCTGGCGATAGAGAGCTGAAACTTGGCATACCTGACCTTTGATCCAAGCCGCATCTTTTGACACCAACCGCATTTTTGGGTCAGGTCAGGTCACTGACCTATGACGTCATAAGTGAACCTCTGCACGGTCTTCAGATGTCGCAACTTCGCAACGCCCTCACTGCCAGAGGAGATGTCACAGGGAAATGAAACTTGCAGGATCTAGTATCCATTATAAGTCCCACAACTTGTATATCTCGGATTTTTCCTAAAGGTCATATGAGGTCAGGTCATTTTCGTGACCTCACCATTATAAGTCAATGGGGAAAAATTCAAACTGCTATTCTGGCGCCGGGAACGATCTCCAACTATCTCAAGCACACAGAATCGTGATTTGATGCACTCCTTGCAAGGTTAGATGCGTCACTTTTGCAATGTTGACCTTGCGTGACGTCATTTATGACGTCATCAAGGTCATATTAGTTTTTCGTCAATAACTCTTGATCAAATTGATCTAGCGAGTCGGGAAAGCCACCAATGGACTCAGGAAGACCTGCCGAATCGAATGATATGCGACATGACCTCTTTCGACCAACTTCGTGACCTGGGGGTGCTGACCTGACCTTGACCTGAGGTCAACACCCCAAGTTGACCTGACCCGGACAAAAAGTATATCATTCGACGCGCCTGAGCGAGACGAACACGATGCTGCCAAAATCGGCGCTCTGCGGCCATTTTTTGCGAAGTTATTCACCAAAAACTGAACCGTACCTTGGGGCACTTGACCTGACCTCAGAGGTCACCGGTTGACCTAGGACCTTAAAATCGGGTACCAATCTCTGCGTCTCGTAACGGCGCACACGCTCGTTTTTTCCGCGACGCGCTAGCTCCACCAGGGGCGAAACGGCGAGGGGGGGGGTCGTACCCGCCCCCCCCCTCGGCCGGCGCGTATGTAGAAAACCAATAGGTCCGGCGAGGGTTAATTAGCCTGTCAGCTTATGCTGGCCAGGGCTGCGGAGTCGATGGATTTTCGGCGACTCCGACTCCGACTCCGACTCCGGCTTTCAAAAACCAGCTCCGACTCCGACTCCGACTCCGGGCAGAATTGTTGACTCCGACCGACTCCAACTCCCGACTCCGACTCCACAGACCTAGCAGGGCTGCGGAGTCGACAGATTTTCGGTGACTCCGACTCCGACTCCGGCTCGGGTTTCTAAAATCGACTCCGACTCTGACTCCGACTCCGGTCACAACTGTCGACTCCGACCGACTCCGACTCCGACTCCGACTCCGCAGCCCTGAATTGCCAGCACACCCTGACATGACAGGAAACGGCGTTTCTTTCGTGGTCGGCAGGAAAAAAGGGAAAGGATCACTTCGGGCACGGCCGACGCGCGCCAAACTTATGCATACCGCGCCGGCGCGACCGACCTGACGCCTACGCCTAGGTTGGCTAGGACGCAGTAAGTGGGCAGCTTGACCGGGGAGCCACTTCGCCATGATCGAGAGTGGGTATATGATTATTGATGGCCCTATAAACCGAAATTATTTCTTGTAATGACTTTCTCTCACGAAATGAGTTGATTTTGTACAGGCAGGTACGGCTCTCCCGAGATTAAGCGGTAGGTTTTGCACTTTTACATTTCCGGTTATATCTCAGAAACTAATCGATCTGCGATGGAGTCATTTTACACGATCATGGCCGGCTTGTGAACCAACAAGTCGATCGCATCTTCAACACTTAAAAGCTTAACCCTATTCCTGGCGGGCTCCGCCGGGACAAGAAACTGGCGGGGGGGGGGCCGATTCGGCCCCCCCCCTGAGATCTCGAGAACGAAGCAAGATAGCGACAAGCGGTAAACGGCATCGGATACGCATGGTCAAGATCTACAATTTTTACTAAGGTCATTTTCAGGTCAGGTCAAAGATGACGTCACAGGGGTCGAAAAAGTCAAAATGGCGGCGCTAGATATGGAGAGTTTTTCTCGAATAACTTTCGAATTAGTCAAGATAGGAACAAACTAAGGGCATCATCGTGATCCTCTCGTCAATCCGCATCGAATGATATATATGTTGACCTCGAAAGGTCAAGGTCAAAGGTTGACCTCAGGTCACGTGACCTCGAGGTCATCATGTATATCATTCGATGCGTCTTGACGAGCTGAACACAATGAGACCATCCACGCGTCTGTATCTTGTTCCTGTACGGAGTTATTGGCCAAAAACCTTTGGTGACCTTTGATGACGTCACATGACCTCACAGCTGCCCAACAGCAAAACAGACCTCAAGGTAGTGAAGGTTGATCGTATATGAAGTCATGTATGGTATATGGGGCCATTCCGACCCGTTTTAGTGGTAAAAACAGGGAGTTGATTTTTCCCCCATTGACTTATAATGGGGAGGTCGCGAAACTGACCTGACCTTAGGTCACCGATATCAAAATTCCGAGATATACAAATTGCACATACTGGTACCCTAACTAAAGCCTGAAGAGAAGAAATTGATCGGTCAAAAACTCTAGCTCTGGCGTGATTGCAAACTTTTCTGAGGTAGGGTCACCAAACCGCCTCTGGTGACCTGACCTGAGGTCAGATCAACTCAAAATTTTCAGACATGTTGCGTAGAAGCCTTTTAGGAAAAGTCAGAAAATTTGAGCTTCCTAACTCAACGCGTTTGGGAGAAATAACCAAAAAACCTCAGGGGGGGCTCCTGAGGCCCCCCCCCGCCAGGAATAGGGTTAAGACGACGAAGATATAGCCTGAAGTACACTTATTTTTCTAGGTGCAAAACCTACCGTTAAAAACCCGCGAGGCCTGTACTTACCTAGGACCTAGGTCTCGCGCCCTTATGTCTCTGTCCACCGTGCATCCCTCGGCGTCGGCCCATCTGGCCTCTCAGCGCCCCTGGACCACATCGCGTTTTCAATCACTCAGCGCCCTTCTAGGAGAATGGCGTCCCTTGTCATGGTCTCACGGCGCCATCGTAACCGTATGGCGCCCCCTGCGTCCCCACCAACTTAGCATTACTGACTGTTCGTCGCCCTTCTGACCTCTATGAGTGTGTGCTACCAGCGACAAATAGGGGGGTCCGGCACTTTTGTTAATGTCATCGTCAGTGAAAAATATGTGTTTTTTTTACCTACTGATTGTGTACCTACTACCTACTCACTACTGGTTTTGTCTGTCTGTCTGTTTGGTTCTCTCCCTTTCTCCTCTCTCTCTCTCTCTCTCTCTCTCTCTCTCTCTCTCTCTCTCTCTCTCTCTCTCTCTCTCTCTCTCTCTCTCCCTCTCTCTCTCTCTCTCTCTCTCTCTCTCTCTCTCTCTCTCTCTCTCTCTCTCTCTCTCTCTCCGATTTTTCATCTCTCCTTTTTGTCTACATGTAGGTTCTCAGATCTCATGTCATCTGCCCGAGCGCGTGGGGTCGACCATAGAAGGTCCGCTCAAACCATCGTCATAAGTTCTCCGCTAACAATTGACAGACCATTTTCTCCATCTCATTGTATTGCAAGCCACGATTGTTTCACCAGGTACACTTGCAAAATACAGTAGTCTCACAAACCAGCAGGATGTGCTATCTTTACATGTTTCTGTAGCACACCGTGGGCCCGTATGTGTATGATGACACGCGACAGGTGAAGGAACCGTACCACACAGGTGGAGCAGCCGTGCGGCCGTTACCTGGTACGGGCTTGGGCGACATTTCAAAGGTACTGCACCACCGTGCCACCTTTTCTGGGGTGTAGGTCGGTGTCTCGGCAAGCGACAGGAATTCCTGGAAAATATTCTCTTAGATAGCACACTGGTATAGTCTCAGGCTAGTAAATACACAAACGGTGGTGGATAGTTGGATGACTCGGCCGAGAAAACGTCCTCCCACATTTATCACAGCGGCATGGCAACACCTAACGTGTGTATGCGACGGTGGCGAGCCAGAAGAGCCTGCTCAGGAAACGACTTTTTACATATATTACAGCGGTACGGCCGCTCTCCAACGTGTGAACGGCGGTGGTGAGTGGTCAGACTACCTTGTGTAGTAAACGTTTTGTCGCATATATCACAACGGAAACGTTGCTCTCCCGTGTGTGTGCTGAGATGGTAAGTCAGACTACCAAGCTCGGAAAACGACCTGCCACATATAACACATCGGAACGGTTACTCTCCCGTGTGCGTACGGCGGTGTTTATTCAAACTAAATCGAGCAGCAAACGTTTTATCACATATATCACATCGGTACGGCCGCTCTCCCGTGTGCGTACGGCGGTGGGTGGTCAGATTACTTCGTACAACAAACATTTTGTCACAGATATCACATCGGTACGGCCGCTCTCCCGTGTGTATACGGCGGTGTGTGGTCAGATTACCTTTTACAGCAAACGTTTTGTCACATATATCACAGCGGTACGGCCGCTCTCCCGTGTGTGTGCGGAGGTGGGTAGTAAGCATACGTCGTAAGGCAAACGTTTTGTCACATATATCACAGCGGTACGGCCGCTCTCCCGTGTGTGTACGGCGGTGGATGGCCCGATTACCCAGCTGGGAAAACGACTTCCCACATATATCACATCGGTACGGCCGCTCTCCCGTGTGTGTGCGGTGATGGATAGTTAGACTATCACGCTTGGAAAACGACTTTCCACACGTATCACATCGGTACGGCCGCTCTCCCGTGTGTGTGCGGCGGTGGTTTGCCATGTCGTCGGAATTCTCCGTAGAGTACTGACACCATTCACACTTCAATTTGCCGTCCCTGCCGATGTGACCGTGTTTATCCTTGACGTGCCTGTTCAGACGATATCGTCCCAGACAGCTGAAGTCGCAATGAGGACAACAGACCGTTGCCAGTCCGCCTGGAAAACATGGGGATGTTGTTTGAAGACAGTAAACCCCTTCCATTCACCGTTCACTACGCAAGTTGGGTTCATTCGTGCCTCTAGTTCCCGCGTCCTAATCGTTGGGTGGCGCCACTGTTGTCGTAGTCGACTGCCGGGAAGCCGCGGTCAAAATGCCCCAAATGGCGAAATTTAAGTGTTCTTTGAATACCTCAGAAACCAATCGGTATACGATGAAGCGTTTTTAGAGAATCATGGCAGGCATGTAATGAATAAATCGGCCACATCCTCAAGCCTAAAAGGCATAAGACGAATAAAGTATAGCCGGACAGGCAAAAGCTTCCCTTGAAACTGTAAGGTCTTCGTCGGCTAAATTTGCGGCATTGTTTTGCGCCCGTAGTTTAAAAACCGTCAGGTCACCAAATTGTAGACGGTCAGAATAGACTGGCCGTTCATACGTGTGTCGGGGGGACGGTGACTGGCGGTGCGTTAGTGCCTGGGTGCCAGGTGCGTTCGAAGGACATGGCCTTTGCCTCATGCCTGTTTTTAGAACGCACTACCGCCTCGGGCCGAGTACAAAAGCGGTGAATGAGAGTGAAGCGAGGTCTTCGGTGCCAGTTCGCTGCTGAGTGCGCTGCTCCGAGGCCCCTCCGACGAATCACCGCTGCTGGCTCGGTTTCAAGGTACGGGCCCTGGGCACTGGGAAGATGCGGGCTCAAAGGTCTTCCTATAGATAGGTTTGGAGCTGGGGAGGCGGATAACTTTATATTGCGGATTGCGTTAGGTTATGATAGGTTAGTTTGCGCGCATTTTGGCGGCTTTATTGATGCGCATTTAATGTTCGCAGTCTGATTACTATTTTGGTGTGAATACATAGGGGCAAAAATCGATATCAACTTTTCATGGAGGTATACGAGAAGGAGGAATGAAAAAGCGGAAGCATTTTTATGTCGGTACTTTAGTTTTGCCAGTTAACTTAAGTCGGCTAGGTGTTTTGTGCTCATTAGACTAGCATACCCATCGGCACGCTACCCACCGCGTGGCAACCAAATGGCGAGCATTCACCACTGAACCACTGGAGTAAACGGCCCCACCGTAGATGCACATGTAGAATGACACGTGGCCCGGGTGGCAGACGGGATAACGGCACAAGGGAGACGTCCCTGCCAACCACTTGTCATATGTAGAGTAAAGTAGCTGATAAAGGGGGAGATAGCGACAGACCCACAGGACCGGGCTCGATCTCCACCCCTACAAAACCCACGAGACCTGTAGATTTAGTCAACACGTCAACACTTAAGCATTGAAAAAATTGACGAACATTTTCCCGCTTGTCTTTCCGAAGCAATATGCCAGGTACCAACAGTGCATCAGTGCAAACATAGGATAGGCATACGCTGCTTGCTGATCGAAGCATCTAGTTTAATTGATACCATAGTGTCATAAGTAAAAAATATCTGTTAGTTTTATTTTCTCTCTCTCTCTCTCTCTCTCTCTCTCTCTCTCTCTCTCTCTCTCTCTCTCTCTCTCTCTCTCTCTCTCTTTCTCTCTCTCTCTCTCTCTCTCTCTCTCTCTCTCTCTCTCTCTCTCTCTCTCTCTGTCTCTGTCTCTGTCTCTCTCTCTGTCTCTGTCTCTGTCTCTCTCTCTCTCTCCATGTCTCTCTCTGTCTCTGTCTCTGTCTCTGTCTCTCTCTCCCTCTCTCTCTCTCTCTCTCTCTCTCTCTCTCTCTCTCTCTCTCTCTCTCTCTCTCTCTCTCTCTCTCTCTCTCTCTCTCCGATTTTTCATCTCTACTTTTTGTCTACATGTAGGTTCTCAGATCTCATGTCATCTGCCCGAGCGCGTGGGGTCGACCATAGAAGGTCCGCTCAAACCATCGTCATAAGTTCTCCGCCAACAATTGACAGACCATTTTCTCCATCTCATTGTATTGCAAGCCACGATTGCTTCACCAGGTACACTTGCAAAATACAGTTGTCTCACAAGCCAGCAGGATGTGCTATCTTTACATGTTTCTGTAGTACATACACCGTGGGTCTGCATGTGTATGATAAGACGTGACAGGTGAAGGAACCGTACCGCGCAGGTGGGGCAGCCGTACGGCCGTTCCCTGGTACGGGCTTGGACGACATTTCAAAGGTACTGCACCATCGTGTCACCTTTTCAGGGGTGTAGGTCGGTGTCTCGGCAAGCGACAGGAATTCCTGGAAAATATTCTCTTAGACAGCACACTGGCATAGTCTCAGGCTAGTAAGTACACAAACGGTGGTGGATAGTTGGATGACTTGGCCGAGGAAAACGTCCTCCCACATTTATCACAGCGGCATGGCAACACCTAACGTGTGTATGCGACGGTGGCGAGCCAGAAGAGCCTGCTCAGGAAACGACTTTTTACATATATCACAGCGGTACGGCCGCTCTCCCGTGTGTGTGCGGCGGTGTGTGGTCAGACTACCTTGTGTAGTAAACGTTTCGTCGCATATATCACAACGGAAACGTTGCTCTCCCGTGTGTGTGCTGAGATGGTAAGTCAGACTACCAAGCTCGGAAAACGACCTGCCACATATAACACATCGGAACGGTTACTCTCCCGTGTGCGTACGGCGGTGTTTATTCAAACTAAATCGAGCAGCAAACATTTTGTCACAGATATCACATTGGTACGGCCGCTCTCCCGTGTGTATGCGGTGATGGTTGTTCAGATTACATTGCTGAGGAAAACGACTTCCCACAAATATCACATCGGTACGGCCGCTCTCCCGTGTGTATACGGCGGTGTCTGGTCAGATTACCTTTTGCAGGAAACGTTTTGTCACATATATCACAGCGGTACGGCCGCTCTCCCGTGTGTGTAAGGCGGTGGATGGCTCGATTACCCAGCTGGGGAAACGACATCCCACATATATCACAACGGTACGGTCGCTCTCCCGTGTGTGTGCGGCGGTGGTTGGTCAGCGCACCTTGCATGGAAAACGACATACCACATGTATCACATCGGTACGGCCGCTCTCCCATGTGTGTGCGGCGGTGGTTTGCCATGTGGTCAGAATTCTCCGTAGAGTACTGACACCATTCACACTTCAATTTGCCGTCCCTGCCGATGTGACCGTGTTTATCCTTGACGTGCCTGTTCAGACGATATCGTCCCAGACAGCTGAAGTCGCAATGAGTACAACAGACCGTTGCCAGCCCGCCTGGAAAACATGGGGATTTTTTTTTTTTTTTTTTATTCTGGCCTCCCTCCAACGGGCACTGATCGTCCCAATTACAGGAGGGCTCCTCCTCCTCCCGGCCCTCATTACCCACCCCCCCAGGCTACGGCTGAAGTGGGAGCCTACCCCACACCTGGTGACACAGCCGGGGACGACGCCCGCGGAACGGGCGGAACCGGGAATCGAACCCGAATCCGGCACCGCCCGCACCGCGGGTCGACGCCTTAACCGACTGCGCCACCAGGGCCGCTAAAATATCGTTGTATAAATATAAATATAAATATCGTTCAGGATGTTGTTTGAAGACAGTAAACCCCTTCCATTCACCGTTCACTACGCGCTGAGTTCATTCGTGCCTCTAGTTCCCGCGTTCTAGTCGTTGGGTGGCGCCACTGTTGTCGTAGGCGACTGCAGGGAAGCCGCGGTCAAATGCCCCAAATGGCGAAATTTTAAGTTTTCTTTGGATACCGTAAAGTGGGGCTATTTGAGACAGTGGGGCTATTTGAGACAGTATTTAAAATCGCTATAAAATGAAGATCGTTTGATTTTTGTGCGATATTTTTGCTCAGGGAGGTGTGGAATCGAGCAGTAAATCGCCTGAGCAAAAAATTAAGCATAAATTTTAATTGGTTTTTGTTTTATAGCAAATTTAAATACTGTCTCAAATAGCCCCACTGTCTCAAATAGCCCCACCTTACGGTACTCTAGAAACCAATCGGTATAAGATGAAGCGTTTTTAGAGAATCATGGCAGGCATGTATGTATATGAATAAATCGGCCACATCTTCAAGCCTAAAAGGCATAAGACGAATAGAGTATACCCGGACAGGCAAAAGCTACCCTTGAAACTGTAAGGTCTTCGTCGGCTAAATTTGCGGCATTGTTTTGCGCCCGTAGTTTTGCGCCCGCGCCCTGCTGGGGGGGGGGGTGTTTGAACACCCCCCCTTGTGGTTTTTCGCGAATATTTCAAAAACGGCGGAGCTCCGCGCCGCCGTTTTTGGTATACCTTATCATACATCAATTCTACACATGTTGTGAAAATTTCAGACCAAGGTCATTCAAGGTCAGGTCACCAGGTCACTTGAAGTGACCTCACCTCATAAAAAGTTTCAATGTCTGTCATGGCTACACCGAGTGACCGATCGCTTTGAAACTTTCAGCGATTGATAAGAGTAACAGTATCTATAAAATGTATATCTCGGAATTTTGATATCGGTGACCTAAGGTCAGGTCAATTCTGCGACCTCCCCATTATAAGTCAATGGGAGAAAATTGCAATGCGCCTCTTTTGGACGAAAGACATTATAAACACTCCCAAACACTGAATTACAAGTGGTTTAGTCACACTGAACATGAAAATGGTGTCCGTGACCCTTGTTTATGCCCTGAGGTCATCTTAGGTCACGAATTGTATCTAACAGTTTTTCGCAAATAACTTTTGATAGAGGCATGCTAGAGCGATGAAAACGCCTTAGATGTGTTCAGCTCGACGAAACAGATCGACTGATATGCAACATGACCCTTTCCGGTCAGGTCATGACCTTGACCTGAGGTCAAATTTTCAAGTTGACCTTTCAAGGTCAAGTTATAGTTCATTCGATGCGTCTTAACGAGAGGAACACGATGCCGGTAAAAGTAAGCTCGTACAAGGCTTGGGTCAAAAGTTATTGCAGAAAAACTGTTTCCGAAAAAATCGGCTATTTTTGCAGTTTTTGCCCCCTGCAGGCAAAACCGTTGACGTTAGGTCAAATCTGAGAGAATTACTCAGAAAGGGCGTTAATAGGGCTATCGAATGCGCTTTTCCGCGGCGCTGTGGCTCTATTGGTTCCCGAGTTATGCGTTGGCTTCTTGGAAATTTTCGATATTCGACCTGGAAATCGGCGAAATTTTGCCTTCAATGACCTCTGGTGACCTGACCTTTGACCTGACCAAAAAATTGACCGAAGTGATTTCGTCATTGTTTTTGACGCTCTTTCGAACGCCGCCTTCCGCGTATCGCTACGTGGCCCAGGAGCCGAGTTACAAGGGGGGGTGTTCAAACACCCCCCCCCCCCAGCAGGGCGTGGAAATCCAGGACCCCCAGCCGGGCGCGGGTTAAAAACCGTCAGGTCACCAAATTGTAGACGGTCAGAATAGACTGGCCGTTCATACGTGTGTCAGGGGGGGGGGGGACGGTGACTGGCGGTGCGTTAGTGCCTGGGTGTCAGGTGCGTTCGAAGGAAATGGCCTTTGCCTCATGCCTGTTTTCAGAACGCACTACCGCCTCGGGCCGAGTACAAAAGCGGTGAATGGGAGTGAAGCGAGGTCTTCGGTGCCAGTTCGCTGCTGAGTGCGCTGCTCCAAGGCCCCTCCGACGAATCACCGCTGCTGGCTTGGTCTCAAGGTACGGTCCCTGGGCACTGGGAAGATGCGGGCTCAAAGGTCTTCCTATAGATAGGTTTGGAGCTGGGGAGGCGGATAACTTTATATTGCGGATTGCGTTAGGTTATGATAGGTTAGTTTGCGCGTATTTTGGCGGCTTTATTGATGTGTATTTAATGTTCGCAGTCTGATTACTATTTTGGTGTGAATACATAACGGCAAAATCGATATCAACTTTTCATGAAGGTATACGAGAAGGAGGAATGAAAGAGCGGAAGCATTTTTATGTCGGTACTTTAGTTTTGCCAGTTAACTTAAGTCGGCTAGGTGTTTGGTGCTCATTAGATTAGCATACCCATCGGCACGCTACCCACTGCCTGGCAACCAAATGGCGAGCATTCACCACTGAACCAATTGAGTAAACGGCCCCACCGTAGATGCACATGTAGAATGACAGTGGCCCGGGTGGCAGACGGGTTAACGGCACAAGGGAGACGTCCCTGCCAACCACTTGTCATATGACTAAAGTAGCTGATAAAGGGGGAGATAGCGACAGACCCACAGGACCGGGCTCGATCTCCACCCCTACAAAACCCACGAGACCTGTAGATTTAGTCAACACGTCAACACTTAAGCATTGAAAAAATTGACGAACATTTTCCCGCTTGTCTTTCCGAAGCAATATGCCAGGTACCAACAGTGCATCAGTGTAAACATAGGATAGGCATACGCTGCTTGCTGATCGAAGCATCTAGTTTATTTGATACCATAGTGTCACCAGTAAAAAATATCTCTGTTAGTTTTATTTACTCTCTCTCTCTGTCTCTCTCTCTCTCTTTCTCTCTCTCTCTCTCTCTCTCTCTCTCTCTCTCTCTCTCTCTCTCTCTCTCTCTCTCTCTCTCTCTCTCTCTCTCTCTCTCTCTCTCTCTCTCTCTCTCTCTCTCTCTCCGATTTTTCATCTCTACTTTTTGTCTACATGTAGGTTCTCAGATCTCACGTCATCTGCCCGAGCGCGTGGGGTCGACCATAGAAGGTCCGCTCAAACCATCGTCATAAGTTCTCCGCCAACAATTGACAGACCATTTTCTCCATCTCATTGTATTGCAAGCCACGATTGTTTCACCAGGTACACTTGCAAAATACAGTTATCTCACAAGCCAGCAGGATGTGCTATCTTTACATGTTTCTGTAGCACACCGTGGGCCCGTATGTGTATGATGACACGTGACAGGTGAAGGAACCGTACCGCACAGGTGGGGCAGCCGTGCGGCCGTTCCCTGGTCCGGGCTTGGACGACATTTCAAAGATACTGCACCACCGTGCCACCCTTTCAGGGGTGTAGGTCGGTGTCTCGGCAAGCGACAGGAACTCCTTGAAAATATTCTCTTAGACAGCACACTGGCACAGTCTCAGGCTAGTAAATACACAAACGGTGGTGGATAGTTGGACGACTCGGCCGAGAAAACGTCCTCCCACATTTATCATAGCGGCATGGCAACACCTAACGTGTGTATGCGACGGTGGCGAGCCAGAAGAGCCTGCTCAGGAAACGACTTTTTACATATATCACAGCGGTACGGCCGCTCTCCAATGTGTGAACGGCGGTGGTGAGTGAAATATCTCAGCTGGGAAAACGACTTATCACAAATAACACATTGGTACGGCTGCTCTCCCGTGTGCGTACGGCGGTGGGCGGTCAGATAACCCTGTTGTGCAAACGTTTTATCACATAACTCACATCGGTACGGCCGTTCCCCTGTGTGTGTGCGGCGGTGGATTGTTAGATTACTCTTTACAACAAACGTTTTGTCACAGATATCACATCGGTACGGCCGCTCTCCCGTGTGTATACGGCGGTGTGTGGTCAGACTACCTTGTGTAGTAAACGTTTTGTCGCATATATCACAACGGAAACGTTGCTCTCCCGTGTGTGTGCTGAGATGGTGAGTCAGACTACCAAGCTCGGAAAACGACCTGCCACATGTAACACATCGGAACGGTTGCTCTACCGTGTGTATACGGCGGTGTTTGGTCAGATTACCTTTTACAGCAAACGTTTTGTCACATATATCACAACGGAAAGGTCGCTCTCCCGTGTGCGTACGGCGGTGGCCGGTCAGCTTAGATGACTCAGTGAACGACTTATTACATAAATCACATCGGTACGGCCGCTCTCCCGTGTGCGTACGGCGGTGGGTGGTCAGACTACTTCGTACAACAAACATTTTGTCACAGATATCACATCGGTACGGCCGCTCTCCCGTGTGTATACGGCGGTGTGTGGTCAGATTGCCTTTTACAGCAAACGTTTTGTCACATAAATCACAGCGGTACGGCCGCTCTCCCGTGTGTAAGCGGCGGTGGGTAGTTAGAATGCGTTGTAAGGCAAACGTTTTGTCACATATATCACAGCGGTACGGCCGCTCTCCCGTGTGTGTACGGCGGTGGGTGGTTCGATTACCAAGCTGGGAAAACGACTTCCCACATATATCACATCGGTACGGCCGCTCTCCCGTGTGTGTGCGGTGATGGATAGTTAGACTATCACGCTTGGAAAACGACTTTCCACACGCATCACATCGGTACGGCCGCTCTCCCATGTGTGTACGGCGGTGGTTTGCCATGTCGTCGGAATTATCCGTAGAGTACTGACACCATTCACACTTCAATTTGCCGTTCCTGCCGATGTGACCGTGTCTATCCTTGACGTGCATGTTCAGGCGATCTAGTCCCAGACAGCTGAAGTCGCAATGAGGACAACAGACCGTTGGCAGTCCGCCTGGAAAACATGGGGATATTGTTTGAAGACCGTAAACCCTTTCCATTCACCGTTCACTACGCGCTGGGTTCATTCGTGCCTCTAGATCCAGCGTTCTAAACGTTGGGTGGCGCCACTGTTGTAGGCGACTGCCGGGAAGCCGCGGTCAAAATGCCCCAAATGTCGAAATTTAAAGTTTTCTTTGAATATCCCAGAAACCAATCGGTATACGATGAAGCGTTTTTAGAGAATCACTAGGGTTACCCGCGTGCTCCGCAACGCGAAGGGGGGATTTTTTGACCCGTGGGTATTGGGTTGGTCTGTGTCGATTTGGTTGGTAGATATCCATTTCGTTCGATTGCTTTTTGACTGCCAAGCATTTTGTAAGAAAACAAAAAGATACATCGCATCGAGGTGCCCGTGTCGTATTATCATGCGTTCTACCTTAGAATGATTCGAAAACTGGCGTGAAGTCTTTTGAGGGCCATCGATGACTTTCGCTAAAAATGACAATGTAATGGTTTGGAACATTTACATTTTTAAGGATACTGTTGCTAATCAGGGGCGTAGGCAGGGGGGGGGGCACTGGGCCATGGCCCCCCCCCCCTTGGGCGCCGAAGGCGCCCTTTGCGATTGGAGGGCGCCGAAGGCGCCCTCCAATCGCAAATGCAATTGTGATATAATCGAATCGAAAAACAATCGCGACTGGAGGGCGCCCTCCAATCGCGAATGTGTTTACAGGGAAAATACGGATGGAGGGCGCCCTCGGAGGACGCCCATTCCAAATACGCCCTCCAAATACGGTTGGAGGGCTCCCTCGGGCGCCCTCCAACCACATTTGTAGGCTGTAGCTCTCTAAGCGTAACGGTGGTCGCCTATGTAAGCCGCTGTCCTGTAAATAAGCGCCCTCTCACCCGAAGGCGCCCTCCTGTAGGTCGCCACCCTGCTACATATTGCCGCCCTTCTGCTGATCGGCGTCCTCATAATTATTGGCGCTCTCCTACCTATTGCGCCCTCATGTGAAATTTTGAAGGCCGCCTTTCTCCCTTTTGGCACCCTCTTGTTCAGTGCCGCCCTCCTACCTATTGGTTCCCTAGTCCTTCCTGTTGAATGTTAATCGGGGCCCTTCTCCTATTGGCGCCCTCGTGTAGATCGCCGCCCTCCTAACCACTGGCACCCTCCTGTTGATCACCGCCCTCCTATCCACTGGCACCTTCCTGTTGACCAGCGCCCTCCGCACAGACGCCCTCCTGTTCGTGTCATCCTCTTGAGCAAAGGCGCCCTCCTCACCATTGCCACCCCCATTTTAATCGTCACCCTTCCGCTCATTGGCGACTTCCAGTTGATGACCGCCCTCCCACCTATTGGCGACCTCTTGTTGATCGCCACCCTCCTATTGGTGCTCTCCTGTTCCTCGCCACCCTCTTACCTGGTGGCGCCCTCCTGTTGATTGTTGATCGGCGCCCTCCTACCTATTGGTGCCCTCCTGTTGATCGCTGCCCTTCTATCCATTGGCGCCCTCCTGCTGCTCGCCAACTTCCTACCTATCGGTGCCCTACTGTCGAAACTCGGGATGTTGATCGGGGCTCTTCTACCTATTAGTGCCCTCCTGTGGATCGCAGCCCTTCTACCTATTGGCAACATCCGTTGATCGCTGCCCTCCTATCATTTATTTACTCCTTTGGCATGTTTTTCAACTTAGTCGTTCTATTGCACATAGTTGATGTCTTGCCTGTGAAAACTGCCACAAATGAACGTGCATTCAGCACAATGAATGAAGTATCTATACCTACCAAAACTATCTACGCTCTACGATGCATAAAACACGTCTTTGGTCTTAACGGATTAATCCTACTTTACGTGCATCATGGCATCTATATGGATTACGATTAAGTATTGTCAACAGGTTCGGGCGCAACAGCAGGCATCTGAAGTTTCGGTGTTTGAAACTGGTTATGTGGGTACACTGTATGCATCTGTGAGAAGGCTATGAAGGCTGGTCTGAGGTAATTTGGATGATGTTTACGCATCTCGCGCTCCGGTATCAATCCGATACGGTGATCTGGTGCGTAGATATGCCACCGCCAATAAACTTTTATACATGGACACCCATGAGCCAAGCTTTCTGTACAGTTTGTGTGGCAGCGGCCCGACCAAACCTTAGGTATTTTTTACACCTTCAAATTTGGTAAAAGAGCGAGAGGAGCTTTGAACAGTGATCGTATAAAAGGAGTGCCTAAAAAGCGGAGGAAAAGGTTGTTTTCAAAAATTTCGCGCGCCTTCGGCGCAGCATTTCAAGAACACTTGACCTTTTGTGACCTGGAGTATAAAGAATACACACGATGCAAAATCAATGCAGCACGACCTATACGAGGTCACGCAAAAAAAAACTGGTGGCATGGTAAAAAACGCCTCCCAACCCCCCAACCCCCACTGAGCGATTTTTTATCTCGCGACCGTATGGCGCCCTCCTTGGGTGAGGTGGCGCCCTCCAAACCCTTGGCCCCCCCCTTCGCGATTTTCTAAATACGCCGCTGTTGCTAATCATGCAAAAATGAAGAGTGAATATTGGACAGAATTGAATGTTCTATCCAATGGTACCATATTCAATTGCCAAAGGTATCAGGTTATGCAGCAAACCCCGTGTGATTAATAAAGTGGCACAAAATTGACAAACACCATTTTCTCCTGTGATTTGCACCATCTTGATTTGGATCAATCAGCTTTTCACAATTTTTATATGAGAGGCGGTACCTTTCTCTTGCAAATAGGCGTTGATTCAACTCGCTCCATTTAACGGTCACCTAAAAATAAAATTAATTCCAAAATCCCTCAAAAACCGCAATTTTTCAAATAAAAGTGCCCTCTCCGGTGCACGTGGCGCGTGCTATCTTCTGCATTGCACACCATTCAATAGCCCGTTCAATTCTGTACACGATGCTGTTTTCCCCGTGCCGGTCGGACCCCTGGTCACCAAGATATTGCACGGGAACTGGACCCGTGTCGGCCAAAATTAGCCGTTTTCACCCGATTTCGCACGCCGATTTATACATGTAAAGTCTATGACGCGAATTTGCACTTTTTGAGCACGCGCCACGCGCTCCCTATCAATCCGATCGAGCTGAGACCCCTCAAAGGCACGTCGCGCATCCTTGATCTATAAGTTGTGCAAATTTCACCGGGCTAGGTGCAACGGTCTGGCCTGTAGTCCACGCAAAGCACCACCAAGTTGGGATCTCGGTAACGGACAGACGCACCCTCCTCAAATAGTAATATAGATAAAAGGCATAAAGGCATAAGTTGAATAAAGTATTGCCGGACAGGCCAACACTACCCTTGAAACCCGCGAGACCTGTACCTACATTTAGTCAACACGTCAACACTTAAACATTGAAAAAATTGACGAACACTTTCCCGCTTGTCTTTCCGAAGCAATATGCCAGGTACCAACAGTGCATAAGTGCAACCATACGATAGGCATTACGCAGCTTGCTGATCGAAGCATCTAGTTTATTTGAAACCATTAATAGTGTTATCAGTGAAAAATACCTCTGTTAGTTTTATTTACTCTCTCTCTCTCTCTCCCCGATTTTTCATCTCTACTTTTTGTCTACATGTACTTCTCAGATCTCACGCCATCTGCCCGAGCGCGTGGGGTCGACCATAGAAGGTCCGCTCAAACCATCGTCATAAGTTCTCCGCCAACAATTGACAGACCATTTTCTCCATCTCGTTGTATTGCAAGCCACGATTGCTTCACCAGGTAGGGGAAGCCGGGGGAAGCCCGGGCGGGGGGGGGGGAAGCCCGGCCACCCCGTTTCCGGCTAAATTATTCACAATAAAATGCTCAACTGTTTGTCCTTTCAGCGTGGCAGCTAAGGTAACGCCAGCAAAAAAGTTAAGGCTGACAAAAATTGCATATTGTTAAAGTTATAGCGCAAAAATGATATTTTAAGGGTTTTTAGCTAAAAAGTGAGATATCTTGCACTGTTAATGTTATACCATACAGTATTAATATTTATACGAATGTTATGTAAGGACCGTTTAAGTGTTTGTAGTGAAGGGTGACGAGGCAGGCTGGCTTAAGTATATTTTTCGAATATCGCTGTTCTAAAATAAAAATTAGCACATTGTACCCCAATGTGCTAATTTTTATTTTATTTTATTTTATTTATGGCCACCCCGGGCGAGTGGCCAAGTTTACCCCCAACCGAGAGCAATGCCACTAAACCACTGTTTTCCATGATATAATAGGTACTGAGCAGGTTTGGTTTACACCTAGATCAAAGATAAATTTCGAAAATAAACATGTTATCATAGACAAAGCCAGTCATGTCACTTAAGGTCAACTAGGGTCAAACTACGTTTTTGCAGATAACGCGACAGACAATGAAGCTAGAGCTTCAAAAATGGTGTCGTTGTGTTCTTCTTCATCAGCCAAGTCGAATGATATGCAATATGATGCATTAAGGTAAAAAGAAAAATACATTTTGTGAGGGGGGCTTAGGCCGGTCCTGCAGGCCCTTCGTTACCTCCCCTCCGGATCTCTACTCTACTCTACAGGATCAGTGGTCGGCCGGGACGTCTCCCAGCCTTTTACCCGTCTGCCACCCGGGCCACTGTCCTCTAAACTAAATGTACTAAACTATGCATCGTGGTTCAGGTGAATAACTCCGCCATTTTGGGGCACACGCGGTTTGTAGCGAACCCTGGGTTTGGAGCTAAGCTCCTGAGCCACAATGACTAACTAGGCACCGAATGAATCTGACTCCGCTCAACCTCCGTTCTCCTCCGACTCAACCCATCTCCAAATGCATCTGGTCAATTCAAACCCCATTTATTGTAAAACCGAACATCATAAAGGACTGCGCATTGAATTGGATCCGAGACGACCGATTATTTCCGTTTCCGCAAGTTTCTACCCTATCACTACCCTAACGGTTACCGACGCGCGAAACTACCTACGAACCTCCACCCCGGTGCTCCTATCCTAACTATGGGATGTGCTTTGAGCCCAGCAT